ACAAAAACACTTCAGGAATGCAGATCTCCTAAACATTGAAGAGTCACATAACAGATAGGTAGCTGATTGCACAGTGCACAGCACTATCAATAGATCTACTATAGTTTTATGTCCTATAAATCTACCAGACTCTACCTTCAATACACACCAACTATCAGTGACTGAGTGACTGACTGCACTGTTCCCATTTAATTCAGACCAATAAACCAATACCAAACATAAACTGAACGATAACCAAACAAACCTCGTACGACTTGAAACGAGACTTAAGTTATGAGAAAAGCTAACACTGTTTGAAATAAACATGTGCACAATTCAAATATTTTATATCCATTCACTGCATTTAATTATTTAATATATAGTTAGTTGCAACTTAAGAAAGTTGAGTAAAAACAAATTAGTATTATTTTTGCTGTAAGCTGTTTGTTTTTAGGGTAAAATAGAGATTTGGGGCAACACGTGCACAGGACTTGGAAAATAAGTTTGCAGCTTGTTAATGGCTCTTCAAGGCCAAGATATGGAATTCATGGCTTAAAAAACTGCTTGGGGGCAAGCTCTGTGACTCTCCACACCCTCAAATTCCATCATAGGTACAAGTTCCAATCCATTTTGTTTTATTAACATGAGAATATCATATTGCGTATTACCTGTTTAGAATTCAACACTGGTACCAAGCACTGTGGAATTCCAGAGGGGTAATATATTAACTGGTAAACATAACAATTCAGAAAGCATGACCTAAAAATCTGGAAAGCCCAGCATACCTACACTTTGTCCATCATCATCACTGACAAGTCTCTGCAAGCTGCCACAGCTGTTTCATTGGAAAAAAAGAGCTTATATCATCACAGTCACATGAATCCAATCATCTCTAGAATGCGTGCAACGTCACAGTCACAAGAATCCAATTAGCATCAGAACGTGTGCGATGTCACAACCACTGGAATCCAATCAGCGTTAGAAAGCTAGAATGGACTGCTCAAAATGCACACAATGTTAATGTACTGATGCTAATTTGATGCGTAATGCTACACTTCTTATTTCAAGTGTGTAATGCAATAATGTAGTTATGTCACTATTGATGGAAAATGGAAATTGCAAAGAATAACATCTTCATTCTGTACATTCATTCACAAATACATGAAAAACTACCTATGATTCAATCCACAAATACAAAACTGACCACCAATGCAATAAGCCGAGACATGGAAACTCATTCCGTTATGATCAGGATTACCAACTTGACAAAAAACATAAACAAAGAAGGTAGCAGGCTGCAGGGACACCAACCATCAATATACTCATGCGAAAAAAATGATAGATACAAATTCTTCTATATTACAAATTTATCAGTAACTGACATTCAACAGAATGGTATAATAACCTTTGTAAATATTAAATGTTATACATACAGAATCAATTGTGCGCAACAGCCAAAGTGGCGGGAATGATGGTTAGTGTTAACTGTTTACTTGTTAGTTCACACCTTGCAGAAATCACAAGGTTCACAGAATATAAAGGTTGATTGCTAAATTGTTGAGTACGGTACTCCATTCTAATCAGTCAACTGAGTCAAGTGTCATGTTGTCCATTATGTTAAACCTAACCTGCAAGGACTCTCGATTGTCTCTCCTGTTACGCCTACGGTGAGCACCAGTTTACCTAGGCATCCCGGTAGACAGGATGTTAGGCAGACCAAGAACCTGGTAGCATGGATGTTAGGCAATACGGCAAAAGTACAGTAAAATTGGAAGTACTTTGAACGGCAATAGTAAATAGTATTTCCTTCTGTAGATCCCTCTTGCTTATCTGCAAGTGACGCACAGAATTAACAATCTTGGGACCTTCACTGTGGAGCCTGACGTAACATAATGCTCATGCATATTTCCAAGGCTGATTTCAGAGTTTCAGACAGCCTGTAAACCTGTTTCTAGTGCCTGGAAGTTAAAACGTTTTTTTTAAAGGCAGAATGCTTTTTTCAAGTGAACCACCAATTTCAGAATTCCACTCTGGACTACCAAATACAAACCATTCAGTCTGGACTCTGGAGAGTGGAGGAATCTCACAGATGACATCTTAACCAATCACAGCTGGAAACAGGATGGAATTCTAATTTTGAAGGTTCATATATTATTTCGATCCACCAAGACCACTTTTTCTACCCAACATCGTTATTTGAGGCAAAAAATGAACTTCTTAAAGGCTTAAAATACGTACACTTCCTTGCTCAGTTTCTATAAAGTACCTAACCACTTGGAAGTTTTATGCTTGCACCTTTCACTCAACAATGAAGCGCTGACGCAATACGACTCACCACGTGGCGAATATTGCCACACAAAGTGACAGAATATAGGGATTTGGTAGGTTTCCATTCTAAAGGCTTTTTAATAAATATGGCAACATTTTGTGACGTTTCATTGTTGCTGACGCGTAGTGAAGTGTTTTGAGAGTCATGTGAACATAGTGGCAAAGCAGAGAGTTTTTTAGACTCTCCCTCAAATTCGCTTTTTGAGTCCTATAAGTAGACCTGCAAAGTATCATGGATACCAGCATTATCATACATAAGAAATTGGTATAAATCTTGAGTAAATGAGGAAATTAAAAATGAACTGATTCTAAAAAATCTCTGGTTTGTCACTATGCATGTGAAGGCAACAGAACTTACATAATGCATACGGTTTTTTTTATAGTTTTTCATTTCTCGATGCTTCCTTAATGTGTCAGAATATACCGCATTTTTCCTATTACCTATACAGAATTCCACACTGGCCTGGAAAGTGGAAAGGCACATATATCTACCCAAAAGTTACATAAACTTTATCATTATGCAATATCCTGTAATTCCAGCAAGCAGCCTCACTTCAGTTTCTCAGTCTTTATTCTATATCAATTCCTAAGTACTAGCTATGAAACTGAGCAGTCTGAGCACTAATTCAAGGCTCAGTTCAATTCACTAATTCAATGTCTCTTTCAAGTTTCAACATTTCAAGATTGTAGGTAAAAATTCAAAATTCACTATCGCAGGTATCAACTATATATATATATATATATATATATTCTTAATGTCAATATGCCTATATCATATAGGTATGTATCAATCAATTAGGGAATTATGGTTTATGCCATGAAAATGATTGACTTACAGTTACGGTGGTTGTGACAGTGTGACTTGTGAGTAGGCTACCCTACCTAGGTTCTCTAAACTTTACCATGTAAATCATAAAAAGCTAAAATAAAAGCTTCAAATAGTTCTGGCACGATTTTAGACGTTTTAAATAAAAGAAATCAAGCAATAAAATTATTCCGAAAATGTAATCTAAAACTTTCGAGTAGAAACCAGTACCGAATTGAGTGAGAATTCAGTTCTCCAATTTCGAATTTGTCCATATCTAATATGATCATATATTCTAAAGCATCAATCACTACAAATCACATCAAATAGCTTTTCAGAAAATTAATTAACACAAAATAACTGCATAAGCAATCATTTCTATAAATAAGACTCGCTAAAATATTGCAAAACACGGAAATTCCACAGCAGCAGCAGCAGAACTGCTACATACGAGTAAATTATTGGAACCCATTCATTCACCACCGAATACATATCAAATAAAAATAAATAAAATTCCTTTATTAACTATAGTAAGTCTACAACGATGAATATAAATATTGAATATAATAATAACAACTTATTATCAAATAAAATAACGACTTTTGAATATTTTTAGAAGAACTTGAGAGTATTTGTTGTTGACTTTCTATTCTCCAAGAAAGTGCTGGACTACGATTTAACGGAGATGCTTCTAGTTCAAACGAAAAACAGACGGTCAAGACCGACAGTCGTGTTACTCGCTATAATAATCATATATGTAATGGCTAAAAAAACGTGTTTCGGATATTTACACTCAATAGTTTTATGAATTATTAGCGATAAAACAGAATTGAACCGCGCGAGTACAAAAAAATCACGAACTTGCGTCTAAAATAGAAATGGTTTTAATGAATATATACACGGCTACAACAGAGCTAAAAACTGTTTTCATATGGAATTAGACGAGGGTTACAATAATAATCTCCGTTAATATAAATATGAGATAGCGTTAGTGTGGTTAAGGTATTTTTCAGTGAAACCGTTACGCGTGCTATCACAAATGAATAAAAATTTGTACGATTGAACTTGGGACTTAAAGATCATCACAAGACTTCAAAAACACTACAAAGAAGTGAAATTTGAATGCATAAATAGCGCTCCTAAACGAGCTGAATAAAACAGGGATCAAACGAAAAAAATAAGGAATTTTAGTCACTAGAAAACTTTATTGATTGCTGGTTACTCATCGTCAAATCATTTGCTCTGCGCATTGATTGATCACACAAGTGAAAATAATTAAAATGTAGGGCATTGAAATTCCGCCAAGTCCAAAAACTGGAAGAGCCTTTTACTCGAGCTGAACCAGCATTTTATCTGTACAGAACTCTCGACCTTCCACTAAATCGTTTTATTAGTGAAAAAATCGAAAAATAAAGTTCGCGTGATAATTCAAACATGAGTATTATAGTGGAACTTCGATTTTTAAATGCACTACTAGGTCAAGGGCGGAACCAAATCTAAAAAAGGAGAGTTCTACGTGGCATGACAGGATGTACTCTTGATATTTATGTAAGAGTTACGAATAACTACTAAGGAATGAAAAAATAACACGTAGCGCACCATAATTACCGAGTAGAACAACGAGCATGATGAAAATTTCGAATTCCGCCAAACACAGTTATGGTATGGTAAGTATCACACAACATCGAAAAGAACGGAAATGCGCCACATGAAAGCCATAGATACGTATTAATAGCAACGCCATAATCTAGGCTTTGCATAATCAGCAATGATAAGAATGAATAATTTATCACGGCTGATCAATTCAATTAATTAATGACCGTCGGCGTGATGAATACAAGTAACACTGTACTCACGAGTAAAAAAAAATAGGCTCCCAGCAAGAACACGTGTTGTGGTCAAAGACATGATACACATCTAAGAACCGTTTATTGTAAGCGGTTATGAACAAAGCTAAAGAGAAATACAGTCTTCAGTTCCTGCCTTTCTTGTTCTTAGGAATAAGCTCCAGACCTTTAATATACTTCTTGGGGATGTTGTAGGTTTCTGCAAGAGAGAAAAGAATCACTTACAGATCAGCCGTCGAGGCACGAGCAGAGCGCAGCTCCGGAAGCTACACGAGGAAAGCTACACAAGAAAGCAAGCTACACGAGGAAGGACCTCCAGCTACACCCCCTACCCAGACTATCCCACCCAATCCTGTTCTTATTCTTAACACCTAACTTCAGAAATAGTGTTGGCATTGTAAAAAAAATTAAAATAACACACTTAAATTTACAAAAATAAGATCAATGCCTCACTGGCTTGCAAGCAGACTTTAAAATCACAATATGAACTACGGTATTATATACAATAAGCAAAAAAATTAAACACAGAGATATACCTATAAATAAAAGGTTTGATAAATTCTCCAAAAAGTTTCGCTTAGACCGAACGAGATACGAGGTTTGTTAGCATCCTACAGGTAAAAAAATCACTATACAAATATTTTAAGATTACCAAATTGAGCATTGAACCAGCAATTAACTTTAAATGTAATTTTTATTGCCCATGCAATATTTTGAGACGTTGATAACAACTTAAAACCGCCACAAACTAACTCTTTCCATTTTGGAATCTTTTAAATAATTATCCAGTCATGTTCGTATAGTTCTGTGTGTCTATTTATATATTTCTTTTATGCCGTTACATAGGTCAATGTTGATCTAAATGCCAGGTAAATTCATGTGTGTGTTGTTGAGATCACTGAAGTTCGTCCAGGATTTGAATCAAATCTACAGCTGTCGCGAGATTCAAGTGTTGATTGATGAAACTTGGCTAAGAGAAATTCTGAATAGTGAGAGTTTATAGATGAATTGTGAATACTATCAGTAGTATTGTGAACGGCCAGAGTATTGAAAAAATATAACTCAGTACTCACTGCAGTTAGTGACAGAGAGCGAATTTTCTCGTTGACGAAAACGTGAAGTCACGGACGGACAGACAAACGAACGGACGGACATGGCGAGCACAATAGTACATTTTTTCCATAAATGGGAGNATTTTCTCGTCGACGAAAACGTGAAGTCACGGACGGACAGACGGACATGGCGAGCACAATAGTGCATTTTTTCCATAAATGAGAAAATGCACTAAAAAACGACAGCAAGATTACCGGACAAGTGGATGATCCTGAATCGCCACTAGCGCGTTATAAATTTATGATGATTAGTATGAATATCACTCCTCAGATCAGGTGTTTAAACGAAATTGTCATCACTGGATGTAAGTGTTTAGTGTAGATCAGGCAAGTGTTTAGTGCAGGTACGGTAGGTGTTAAGTAAAAAACTACGCCACAGTAAGGATTGTCGAAGAAAAACTCAATCAAACGAAGGAAGAAAATAGCATCGACATAGTAAGACAGCGTTGGATGAACAACAACCACACAGTAAGATAGCGTTGAATGAAGAGCATCTAACAATCGCCCACTTCAAGAACTTGAAGCGAAACTGAAACGGAAGCAAATGAGGTAAATCATCTCGAGACGTCTTGACCAAGCTCGAAACACATGAGCATGGCAAGCACATGACTGACTCATGAGGAGCTTGGCAAGCACATGACTGACTCATGAGGAGCTTGGCAAGCACATGACTGACCCATAAGGAGCTTGGCAAGCACATGACTGACCCATGAGGAGCTTGGCGACCTCGCCCGTAGCGTTGCCCTGCACCAGGATCTGCACGGTGCCCTGGGGCTTGTGTTCCGCAGGCCCGACGCTCGTGCTTGCCGCCGCCAGCACTTGCACCTGACGCGCGAACTCGTGCTCATCCACGCCGAAATTGGATACGTGATACACAAGCGTCACCTGTTACGTACAACGGACTATGCATAATGCTAATAAATGATTTTCTCTTACTGAAAGGACAGAATGTTTCGTTGGTTGAGAAAATCACCATACTGAAGGACAGAAGGTTTCGTTGGTTGAACTTATGCCCGAACCAACAAGAGAAAATTCAGGCAAGTTCTCTTTAATTCCAATGTTCATGAGGAAAATCTTTCAAGACAATAAATAAAGACTTGGGAACACTGGAAATTACAATGCAAAATATTAGGACTACATTGTGTCCTTTGATAATGAACAAAAAAAAATTACAGACCTTTTTATTTCCAGCGCGCTTTGCGACCACCATCTCGATGCACTCAATTTTTCCCTTCTTAATGATATCGGCTTGGCCAGGTCTTCGAATGCGCACAGCAGGTGACATACGACCAAGCAGCCGAGAAAATATCTGCACATTCAGTGACAGGTAAAACAAACTCTACCAAATCCTAATAAATAACAAGAATTTTAGCATTTAAAAATATATTGATAAGAAATTATGGAGCAAGTTATTCTGGAGGGTTCTAATAAAGATATTTACATGTAGGCAAAGATAGCGAAGTGACACTCAGTGCAACGTCTCAAATTATAGCAAGCGTTCTAATAACTTCAGCAGTAAAACTCTAACAAATAAATTCAATACTCAAAATTACAATTATACTAATTGTCATCGATGAATCAATGACAAATTGGGACACCCATTCTCCAAGGGATTTAAAATTTCTGGCAGCAAATTGTTTAGCATATGTTGAACGTATTTGAACGTATTACATTAATTAGAATAAGATAAACCAATAAATGCTTGCTACCTTTACAAGAAATTATTTCGGTACTGTAAATATTGCTTTCTCAGAATTCAGTCTATGAAATAAAATGCTCCCAAGTTTATTAGTAAGACAGAATTCATGAATATTTCCAGGCTAAGCCACAGACCTGATCCCACTTCATGAGCCGCACGAGTCCTTCTTTAGGAGCAATGATGGCCTCGTGGAGAACTGGCTCCAGGTTCACCATTCTGAGGGAGAGTAATAAAATTATATCAACTCCTTACCAAGACTCCTCCTTACCATGACAGCAAATAACACGCAGAAGTGGCGCAAACGAAAGTGAAAATGTCATCTGATATGCTCGCAATTTTCCGGTGCTGTATCGATACTTTTAACGTTCAAAGATCGAGTTAACAAGCGCCAGGTTCATCCAACTATTCTACTTTCCTTTGGTATAATTTCTAAGCCAAGTCGTGACGAGAATGAACAGCGTACCTATTCAGCCTTCTATTGTTCTACATGTTCCATTCCCATAACGAGACTCAGCCACATGTTCACCGATCAAATCAGATTTTACTTATACCTGAGCCAAGGGTAAATAATTTACAGACCATGTTCGGTAAAATCATCATAATTCTGGGAAAAGGTACCAAATATTTGTGAGAGCTAATCAGGTGCCACAGAATATTAAAAAATCTAACTCAGTACTCACTGCAGTGAGTGACAGAGAGCGCATTTTCTCGTCGACGAAAACGTGAAGTCACGGACAGACGGACATGACGAGCACAATAGCGACTCGTTTCCATAAATGAGAAAATGTGCTAAAAAAAAACAAACGTGGCTAGATTGACAGTCAAACCAAAATAACCAAGATTCAGACCACAGATGAAGAAGAAACCAGTGAAGCTGTAAATGATTTCCCTACATTGACAAGTCAAACCTCGTGAATCAATGCAGACAAAAAATAATCAGGAGAATAAAAAATATTCACAGATACTTTTTATATTTACAGAGAAAATGGAAAAAATCATCATACTTGTTTCTCACATAGTCAGGAAAAATATCCACCTTATATTTGAAACCATCCACAAGAAATACCCCAAATGTTGCCCATATCAAGAGTCGCCACTGATGGTAATTTCAGGCAGCAACAAAACATCAAACTTAACAAGCAAAGTCTGGTCGCGGGCACGGCATCACTCACCCTGTTTGCGGATCAGCCAAGTTCTTGCGTTTAACATAACTGGTAACGATGTCTCGGACGTCTTGTTTCGAGAGGACGTCGCCCTTACTTTAAAGGGCGAATAAGAAAACATTAATGCAAGAATACTCGGGATACACAAATATAAACTCACATATGAACGTTATCAAATCCACAACAATCACATTACAACGAAAATGAAATTTTAAGAAATTAAAATAGGGTACTCAATGCAATGAAACTGTTCAGTCATTACACTAGATAATGAATAATATGCCTTGATGTGCCAGATTTGATAAAGGGATCCTAATGATTCAAGACTATCTTTTACATGATAATAATACAAGCGGCACTCTACTGCCGCCTACTCTGTCCACCTACCACTGACGGACTATCAAGTTAGACGCACAAATCACAGTCGAGAAATTTAGTACAAGCTCAGCTTTGGATATCACGATGAGTTTGTTGGTACCCACCACTTGCCGCAGCTCCTGAAGAACTCAACGGTGTTGCCTGACACTTGATGCACTTCTTCTAGAGTAGGTGGGACAAACCCCCCACTCTCCCCCGACACTTGTGCCACTGTAGTTTCTGACTAAAAATAATACAAATTAAATGCATAAAATACTGGTTACTCACTGGCTCATCACACTCGTGCTTCTGATTAAAACCACACCACAGATTAGTCATTAAAATTATCATTTCTTTATTATGCAAGTAGGGTGCTAATGATTTTCTGTGAAACCCAAGGCCGATAATTTAGGCATTTACCTTACTATATCTGAAGTTTGTAACGTCAGGATGTTCGTAGTCAACGCTGGAGATGTTCTCAACGCCTTTCTTGGGCTCGGAGATCTTAAGGATGCCTCGTTCCTCCATGGCGCTGAGGAACTGAGCCGCTCATCAGACACGCAGGGAGAATTTCTCCCATTACAATATTAGCGGCACAACAAAAACTACTTAATAATTTTAATAAAACTAATATACCTATAATACCTTAATTATGCTATTGTTTTATAGATAAACATGCATTACCAGCAGCACTAAATTCATCCTAAAACTTCTAAGCCTTTTCAATAGAATATTGTCTCCAATACCTAAACTATGCAGGTATTTTATAAGTAATCATGTGTTATTTAGCAGCACTGAGTGAACTCACGAACAAGGTCGTATTATCAATAAATAACATTTCGATTCTCTACATAAATTCAGTTCATTTAAAGGGTTAGTCAGTCGAGATGGTCATTTCTTGTGATAATTTCAGAACGGGATTTAAATCATTCAATCAAAGATCAATAACAAATGAAGTTCTTTGGGTGCAATAATTCAAATTCTGAGTTGATAGAAGAAATGTAAATTTTGGCAATTTTAAACAAAAATCGGCCATGGGTAACTTAGACTGGCACTTCCAATAGTCATACAGGTTCTAACAAAAATTCAGGTCGAGATTATTATGCCCACCGTTATTAGAGCATACTTTTTATATTTTAAAACAAAGTTATAGAGTAATCATGGACAGAGAGAATTTTTTACAAGGCTTTCTTGATTTCAAGAGCAGCAATGACTTAGAACCATAGAGCTAACCTTATAGAGTTTTTTGTTGATGTCAAGAGCAACATTGACATAGAACCATAGAGCTCACCTTAGAGAGTTTTTTGTAAGAGGTTTTCTTGATGTCAAGAGCAGAGTTGTCGGGACAGGCGGGCAAGACGTGTAGCCTGTAGAAGGAGCTTGTGAGGAGCGGCAGGGGCAGCTTGCCGTTGCTTTGCTGCACCGCCTTCAGGAAACAGTGCAGCAGGAGAGCGTCCATAGCTTCACACGAGTCTGAAGAAACAGTTTATATAATAGGGGCAAAATTGACCATTTTGCAAGTAGATTTCTTAATGCTGGATAACCAAAAGCCTGATGACCAACCAAAAATTTTTCTGGATACAAAATTATTGTACAAATTAATACAGCACTGAGCATTCCCTATCGTGAATCCCATGGAGAAGATCAAATAAGAAATAAATGTACATTTCAAGTGATAAAAAAAATGAAAATTCGAAAAGTTTTTACTACTTAGCCTATGAAATTCATAAAGAAAGATCAAAAACCTCCCTTTGCCTACAATAAGTCATATTATCATTTATATAAATAAATATGCAAAAAATTCCATTGCTTCCACATCATAGTCTATAAATAAAATCAATATTAAATACTATACTGTACTTCAAAAGCAAGATAAATACAGCATGATGTAAAAGAAGCAAGGTGCAATTGACAGCTTAAAGCATGAGACATAAACCGACATCAAAGCTGAATTTTGTCCAGCAGCCCCAAATGAAAGAACATGTACTGAAGTGAATATGGTTATGGCTATTAATTACAGGTAGTCAATGGGGAATAGCATACAAGTAAAAGGAAGGTGATAGCTATTGTTCAACAGTTACGTTATGGAAAAGGAGTGAAACTAATAGCAGCCACAAGGAAAATAAAAGCTACGCTATGGAATAGGTGGCACATTGATAGTGGTTCTAAACTACCTGCCGATTAAGCCATGCAGCATTAGGCACCATGATAGCAGGTGTAAACTTACTGCCAGATACCTGGGCCGGAGGAGTTGCAGATGTCTGATCATCGACCACCTGCAGCTCGTCCATCTGCTCCTGCAGCTGCTGCTCTTCAGAGACTGTGCAGCTGCTGCAGCTGCCATAGTCACATGTAGCACTGCCGCTCTCTGGCGTCTCAGGAACAGGCGTCGACGATGGTGCTGATGGAACTGAAAGTTTCATACATCAGCCAAGGCACCACAAGAGTCAAAGAGCTACATCAATCAATGCGCCACAAGAGGAGCTAAATCAGCCAACGAACCTTAAGACTCAAATAGCAAAATCAGCCAATACACCACAAGAGTCAAAGAGCTATGCCAGTCAAGGCACCACAAGAGTCAAAGAGCTACATCAGTTAAGGCACCACAAGAGTTAAAGAGCTACATCAATCAATGCACCACAAGAGTCAAAGGGCCAAGTCAGCCAAGGCACCACAGAGTCAAAGAGCTGCGTCAGTCAACACAACATCAGTCAAAGCAGTACCATATAAATTTGGAACTATTTTGACCCCTTTAAGAAAAAATTGTTTTGGACTAAAGATACGAATTTTGATATACATTGGTTCATGCCTAGGACATTAATTTTGATGCAATCTCACTCTGTTCGGTGAAATTAGGCATGGCTTTGGTGCCGGCGGCCCAGAGATGATCACCCAAAACATGAGCTGTAATGACTGCCTTGCCATGGCCACCCGCCATGTACAGGTCAGTGGAGGAAAGAGCCGTTGTCCCGACCGCCACGACAGCGCCACGACACACAACTACTGCTGGGCTCCCAGCCTCAAAGTTGCCAAATGTTGTAGGGGAAAGCTGCACATTATAGATCAGTTAATTTCAGATATGACATATCACTTACTGGTTGAAATTAAGTTCAAAATTAGAAACCAACAACATATGATCCTATGAGAAAACATTTCTCAGATCATCAAATTGCAAGAAAATTTTAAAATGAGCTCAAGTTGAGTTATTCACACCAAGGAATTTTATTCATTTAGTAAGAAAATGAAGCCATAGCCAGTTATTTGTAAACTAAAAAATTCTAGCAATGAAGTTATAAGAATATTTATGTCCACCTTAATATTTCTATACATATTATATTAGAATATGAATGAATACAAAATATATATACCTATGTTAGTGAATGTAGGTAACACATTAAAACATTATCAGTACACTTTTCCCATAGATGGTTTTGTTGAATCCTGGAAATATTGAAGAATAGAATGGTGATTTGTATTATAGAGATAATCATCAATTGATTTAATCAATAATTATTTAAGCCCTATAATTAATTGACTAATTAGAGAGAGAAACTGACCTGACCAGAGATGATGACACCAGGCATCATGAGGTCAGCCCCTTGCTGTAGCCGCTCCAGCACGTCAGGGTGCGTGTGGAACACTGTAGCAACAGTGTCAGCTGGGTACAGCCAGCACATGTATACTGAAGGCAGCAGCACACTGCCCAAGTGGCTGTTCACGGTGAAGGCCAAAGGGCATCCTGAACACTGATGTAAACAACCAGAGTGGTTAGTGACTTAGTGGCCACTGAGACAATGGACTTACAACTAAAAAAATCCATTAAGACGAGGCATAATACATTAAAAAATTATTCATCATGACATATAATCAATGATAAGTTGAGTACCATTATCAAATAGAACATTAAATTTACACAAATCTGTGCTGAAAATCCACTTGAAGGCTCAACCCATTATCTTAGTGGCCAATGAGATGATGAGATTACAATAATCCCAAAAATTCCCAGAGACACTCCATAAATCATTACAAAATTATTAATCATTTCATAATTGATAATGGATTGTTATTGCTATCAATAGAACACTACATATATAAAAAAAATCTGATGAAAATCCACTTGAAGACTTGATTTATCAATAAATATTTCTGTTTCCAATAAATTTATAAATTATAGAAACTGATGTAAAGAAACATTCTTCTCAGCTCACCCAAAGGAGTAGTTTGAAATGTTAATATTACAAGAAAGTTTCTAAAATATTCATAGATATAATGCTAAAATATTAATTTTTACAGAACTCTTCTAAAAAGAATTTTATGGCTTTTGTATGGACGATTATTATTTAAATATATCACAATATTATACATGCCAAAAACACCCACCAAATATACTACAGTGGGATCTCCTTTATTACAGTAAAGCTTCATTGCTGCCACATCTTCCTTCAGAGGCACCAGCTGGTGAATGTCTTCCTCTGACAACTTTAAGAATTGTTGACTCATTTGAACACGCAGCTTCTTCCTGTTAGGAAAAAAATCTTTTCATTCACTTCCATTAACAGCAAAAAATTTTTTACAAGAAATTATCAGTTAACTTCTTACAAAATTTTTAATTTCTCTAATGATACCACATCTTCCTTCAGAGGCACCAACTGGTGAATGTCTTCCTCTGACAGCTTTAAGAATTGTTGACTCATTTGAACACGCAGCTTCTTCCTGTTAGGAAAAAAATCTTTTCATTCACTTCCATTAACAGCAAAAAATTTTTTACAAGAAATTATCAGTTAACTTCTTACAAAATTTTTAATTTCTCTAATGATACCATAAAACAGGGTAACTTGGACCTTTATGACATTTAAGAATTGCAACCCCTATACTTAAAAAGTTCTTTCAATAGAAAAAATTGTGTTGATGTCTTGTAAAATACCATGAGATACCCTACATATGCAAAAAATATATATTTTATACATTTACCAAGTAACTACTTGTATCACAAAATGGTTATTTGGTAAGCTCTAAAAAAAGGCCCAAGTCACCCTGTTACCACGTTTTCTTGATTTCGTTTCCTGTGTGTCTGTCATCAAAAATTCAAACCTTAATTTAGAGTACGGTACTTCTAAACATCCTAGTAAGTTGAAATTTGGCATGCATGTGTATGCTGCCTAACAATTCAAGATTTGGTCATCAGAAATAATAATTAAAAAAATTTTTTTTTGGAAAAAAATTAAAAAGTAAAAAAAACACTAAAAATTCATGGTTTGTAATTAAGTTTTTTCTTGAACATCCACACTTGCCAACCCTGGAAATTGATTTGAATTGCTAAAATTGCTAACTAAAAAGTAGAAAATAAATATATATAAAAAATATTTTAAAAAACCATGTTTTTCTGGTTTTTACAAATTTAAAAATAGTGAAATAAAACAAACAAAAAAAACTTTAAAAAATCACGTTTTCTTAACGGACAAAAAAGAAAAACATTTACTCTTACATAACATTACATAACATTTTACATAACTTAAATGTTATATAAGAGTAAATGTTTTTCTTTTTTGTCCGATTAGAAAACGCGTTTTTTTAAGTTTTTTTATTTGTTTTATTTTATTGTACCCTTCTTTGCCAGTTGTTGACTTCACATATTTGACAAAAAAACTCACAATAACTTATCCATCAAACATAAAATGGGCTTTCAGCTCCAATTGGTTGTTGTTTACACATAAATTGGCCCAGTAGTAGGTAATTGTTTTCATGAGGAAATAACAAGGTTGAAACACAATAGTATTTTTTCAAGCCATAAGTACTTTTTCACTATACAGGGAGTTTTGTTGCATAACAAATGTAGCAGATGATGCCAAAGACACTAGACTAAAGGCTAAAACTACTATAATTGGATCACAAAAATTTGAATTATACGGTATGCTATAGGCTGATTACATGTTTCAATGCAAAAAGTTGACCATTATTTATATACCTATTCGTTATACCTAACACCAGGAAAGATTCACTCAGCACAAAATAATTTTTTCATTTAAGGATATCATTATTATCTCTCAAGTTATTTATGACCTAGAATCGAACCAAATTTTTGGGAAACAAACTTGTTTGAAAGTGTAAAACCTATATTCCATACAGACTTTGTAGATTATAGATTAGTTTAACAAATGACTTACTTGTCAGAAGTTTTCAGTTGGGTATTTGATTTAACCTTGAAAGGCTTCAAAAACATGATGATGATGATAATATTTAAATTAATATTTTTTCAACCTGAAAAGAAAAATTTGTCAATACATTCATGACTGTAAATACAAGTTTTAAAATGCTTATAGTAATGACACAAATGCTTTCACTGCAGTCCACCATGAAGAATTTAGTGACTTTTGGTAGAGGTGAACAATGGTCAATTCATGGTGCAATTTTATAGTTAATATAAAAGAACATATTATTTTGAAATTTTCAACTCTTCCACAGCACACTATCACCATTCACCACCCCTCACATGACACAACTGTAATAAGTAAACAAAAGACAGCATTGGCAAATGGTCAAAAAAAACAACAGTTCTACTGACAAGGAATTGAATCATTTCAAAATAAAAGTATGTATTGGGATAAAAGTATGTATTGGGGATGCATGGTGTTAGGGGCTGCATTTAGGCAAATGAATTATTTATTGTGTTTTCAATTAATTCTCTCTTTTGTGTCCCCAGTGCTTTAAAACTAATAAAGTGACTGCAAATTAAAGTTAAATTAATGCATGTGAATAAGCATTGTTGAAGTGAGTCAATTTTCTGGGTTCCTGCTTATCTGGTGCTTATACTGACTTGCCAACCACTCGTACTGCCTACTGTACATGAGCCTGCTTTCTGGCAATGAAGACTTCCTTGCTGTCCTGTCACTGACCTACTAAGATTATCCTGGCTCTTAAATGGGTAAGCCAAGGGAACACACTCGCCACGCATCTCAGTCCTAAATTTTAATTATTGAATGTTATCAGTAAATGTTTTTACATATAATCAATCATCCCTTAAAATTGTTTTACAGTTTTGCATTAGGTTCTTATGTGTTCCTAGTGTACTTATGTGTTTCAACTTTCAAGTGTTATTGTTGGATAGGTTTTATGTGTTCTTGTTCCTGCACTTTTGCAGAGCGGCCAACGTGGGGCATATTCTGGGCCAATTTGGGGCACCTTCCGGCAAGTTCTGAGCTAGTTTGATGCCAGTTCTGGACGAGTGACAGGCAAGCTTTGGGCTCACTGAGCCACATTGCAGACAAGTCTTGGGCTGCTCTTGAGCTACTCAAGCTGATGCTAGAGGCCAGCGTGGATGCCTCTTTAAGTCCTGTCCAGCAACTCATGTCAGAGCTGCCCTAACGTGCCAGTTGAGTCTACCCCACTGCTACTCACAAGTAAGACCACCGCCGTCTTGTTTCTTGGGTGTGGACGCCACTTTATGGACCAGGCCTGACCCAGGGCCCGTTTTGAGCCCTTGATTCCTTGGTTTCATTATTCTTGATTTGATTTATGCTACAGATCATTATTCTGGCCCAGTTTAGTTTATTTACCATGTATCATTATTTATTCTTTACTGTTCAAACCAGTTTGGGCTGCTGGCTATTTATGTTCTCATGCTAGGTTCACCACATCACTCATAGCCCTGGGCTGTCTCATTACTAACCAACTAATTTTTCACCTTTCACCTTCATGTACCACTGATTATATTTAATACATGTTTGCCTGGTTCTTCCTCTGTTTGCTTCCCTGAGTTTGTTTTGCTTGGCTTCATGTGCTGGTACTATACCGGCCGGACCGTCGACCTTTAGAGGGGCTGACCCCCAACAATGGCAGGGAGAGCCATGCATCTGTCAGGCTGCTCACTGCTCAGGCAATGATGGATGCACAAGCCAAGGTTGTAGAAGCCTGCACTATCAGTCCTTCACATGAGCATGGCAAGCACATGACTGACTCATGAGGAGCTTGGCAAGCACATGACTGACCCATAATGAGCTTGGCAAGCACATGACTGACCCATGAGGAGCTTGGCAAGCACATGACTGACTCATGAGGAGCTTGAACCATTACTGACCCATAAGGAGCTTGACAAGCACATGACTGACCCATAAGGAGCTTGGCAAGCACATGACTGACTCATGAGGAGCTTGGCCATCACATGACTGACCCATGAGGAGCTTGGCAAGCACATGACTGACCCATAATGAGCTTGGCAAGCACATGACTGACCCATGAGGAGCTTGGCAAGCACATGACTGACACATGAGGAGCTTGAACCATTACTGACCCATAAGGAGCTTGACAAGCACATGACTGACCCATAAGGAGCTTGGCAAGCACATGACTGACTCATTTGGAGCTTGGCAAGCACATGACTGACTCATAAGAAGCTTGGCAAGCACATGACTGACCCATAAGAAGCTTGACAAGCACATGACTGACCCATGAGGAACTTGGCAAGCACATTACTGACCCATAAGGAGCTTGACAAGCACATGACTGACCCATAAGAAGCTTGGCAAGCACATGACTGACCCATAAGAAGCTTGACAAGCCCATTACTGACCCATAAGGAGCTTGGCGACCTCGCCCGTAGCGTTGNTGACATAAGCAGCACAGAAACACAGCTCTCTAGACTGGAGAGAGTACACCTAGCCAGGCTTCGCTGCCGCTGCGGCCACCACCCCTCACTACAAACATACGCAAACAGAATAGGCCAAGCAGACACAGACACCTGCCCATCCTGCCAGAGAGCTCCCCACACAATCACTCACATTCTCCTGGAATGTCCGCTCTGCGGCTCTGGCAGGACCTCAGACAACACCACCACATAACCTCAACCCTACAGCTCTGGAGCGACCCCCTGTCGGTGGTGTCGTACTTGACCGAGGGGGGTCTCTTGTAAAATTGAGACTGGGGAACCACAACAACAACCCCATTTTATGGTATAGTTTAAGACTGATTCATGCTACCTTTAATTCATGCTATTCATGCAGTTTTAAATTCATTTTCTCTACAGTTAACAGATTTCATCCTCTCAAAGCCCTCTCTTAATTTCCCAAAGCAGAGCCTCAACATTCCACACTCCACAGAAGACAGAAGTCACAGAACTGGGGCATTGCTTGTCCTATTTGACAACTGGATCTGTGAGTCGAAGTGGACATTGATTGTCTGATCCCCTGGCTGGTTTGTCTGTCACATAGTGACAAACCAGAGATTTTTTAGAATCACTCCTTTTTCACTTTTTTAATAGGGCCTATCCCAAATTTTCAAGATTTAAACCAATTTCTTATGTATGACAATGCTGGTATGAGGTATCCATGATAATTTACTTGTCTACTTAGTCTTAGGTCGGTAGTATAAGACTCGAGTAAAAATTGAAGTTTGAACATGAGGGAGAGTAAAAAAAAAACTCTCTGCTTTGCCACTATGGCCGCGCCGACATGGGTATTGGCTGAGACATATCTGCCTCGGACTGTTCTTCTTTTCAGGGTGTCCACGTTGGGTGGACTGAAAGCCACAGCCTCACAGGATAACCACAACTCCACAAGGATGACCGTGGTGGTGGCTCGGTGTGCCTGTGCCGCCTCATGCCTTTGACGAGGCCGAGTCATCATCAGTGGGTCC